AGAGGCAAGCTAATCTGTAAGAGCTATGGCTAACACAGGATTTGTCAATCTGAATTTGCAAAATCAAGAGGTTAAATGAGCATATCGTTAGAGGAAAGCAGTGGGTGGTGCAGAAGCAGTTCGAAGAGCATTGAAGGACTACTCTAGTCCTACTGTCGATGGTTGCTATTCAAGCATCAGGAGACCACCCGTTCGCAAACAATTTTGAGATTAAACCAGCAATTATCGGAATGATTCAGCAGTCGATCCAATTCGCTGGGTTACCTCATGATGATCCCTACCGCATATCGCAAACTTTCTGGAGTTGTGCGACACATTCAAGCATAATGGAGTATCCAAGATGCAATCAAACTAAGGCTTTCCCATTTTCTCTCGGGATAAAGCTAAGGCTTGGTTGATTTCATTACATCTGGGAGCATCACGACGTGGAATGAGTTGGCTCAAGCGTTCCTTACTAAATACTTTCCACCTGCCAAGTCGGCCAACTGAGGATGAGATTACCACTTTTATCAACAGGATTCAGAATCATTGTATGAAGCGTGGGAAAGGTTTAAGGATCTCTTACGGAGGTCCCACACCATGGTATACCAATCTGGTCACAGTGCAAACGTTCTACCAAGGGTTGCTACCAACCATTCAAGCTATGATTGATGCGGCCAAGTGGGGAGCCTTGAACAATAAAACACCAGAGGAAGCATACAATCTGATTGGGTGATGGCGAACAACAACTATATGAGGACCCCGAAAGAAATTCAATAAGGAGATCAGCGGGAGTGCATGAAGTTACAGTTACACTGCATTGGCTGCTCAACTTACGATAGAGGTGGAAAAAATGGGCCGGTTAGGCGGGCCAACCCTAACCCGGCCCGTAAAAAAAAGGGCTCAAACCGGCCCACCTTAATGGCGGGCCGGTTGAGCCCAACCCGCCAGCAACCCCGGCGGGCCGGTTACACAATGGTAACCCGCGCCCGCCGGGTTGCTAATTTGTCCTCTTTGCAAGAGGCCCGCAACCCGGCGGTTGCTGGCGTTGGCTCTTCCAACGGCCAACCCGCGGGTTGGCCCAAAAAAAAAAAAAAATTGTAAATCTTTTTTATTTTTTTCAATTACACTTTTTCCCTTGAAATATAGCCGTTTTATACCGTTGGAGGGGTCTTTTTCGTCATTTTCTTTCCCTATTTTTTTCTATAAATTGGCCCTAAACTCTCATATTTTTCTCACAACTCAAATTCTCTCATTTCTCATATTCTCTATTCTAAATTTCTAATCTCTATTCTCCAACTCTCAAGTTCTCAATTATTCTTATTTCTCTTAATATTTTTGTATCAATTTGCTCTTATTTAATTTTTATTAGGTTTTGCAATTTTCAATTCATATTTCCAATTTCCTATTCCAAATCTCTTTCTTTAATTTTTATTTCTTCTACATCATTTTTTTTTTCAACACAGTCTACAATGGATAGATATTTCTCTCCCATCAATTTCAATGAGAGAAAACTATTATCCTAGTCCTAGTCCCGCTGATTTTACTATGAATGCAGGAATTCAAATAGTCCCGCTGTCCCATCCCAATCTCAATCCGATACACCTCAAAATTGCCGTCGATTCCAACAGCGCCCGTGTGTTCAGAAGTCGTCCTCGTAATCGTCGTCCTCGTCAACTTCATCTCAAGCTGAGGCGGATCATCAACTGCCTCGAAATGAAACAGACACCACTCAGACATTTGGGCGCATTTCGACAAGTTTACGACAGAAAATGGCGTTCAAGTCAAGAAAGCAAGATGCAAATATTGTGCAAATGTTTATAAAGCCGATTCAGTAATGGTACTATACTTTAAAAAGGCATGCTAATAACATATTAATCAACATGGAAATAAGAAAGCAATCAAACTCAAATAACTAATATGTACTACTTGGCGTTTAATTCGATGTATATAGGGAACAGTTAGCTTTATTATTGCTGCTCTGCATCAACCTATTAATATGGCAGAAGATAAATATTTTGAAAGATTTGTTCAAAATTCATTTTTTCCAGGATTTAAAAGTTATTCTAAAACTGCAACTAGAAATGATTTAATAAATTGTTTAAAAAAATGAATTAGAATTAAAAATAAATTTCATACTTGTCATATTAGTGTGGCTTTAACTGCTGATATTTGGATGTGTAGAGCTAACAAGATTTATTGTGTGACTAGTCATTATTTTGATAATGAATTTAAATTAAATAATCTTTATAGTTTAGATTAATGATGTGGATCAGTGGTTTAGAAATCTATAAAATTATTGAAGTTTTAGAAGATTATGATATTATTGATAAAGTGATAAGTTTAACTTTAGATAATGCAAGTTCTATATTAAAGCTATAAATATTTTCAAATATATATCTTTTATATATAATTTGAAGTTTTTTCACCAACGTTGTGCATGTCATGTTATTATTTAATTGTGAAAAGTGGTATGAAAACAATTAAAAAAAAATATTGATAGAATTAGGGAATCTTTAGCTTGGATACTAGTAGTAAATAAAAAAATGCTGATTCAAGAAGCTTGTATAAAATCAAATATGTCTCCTAGAACTTTTGCATTAGATATGCCGTTTAGATGGAATAGTACTTATTTAATGCTTGATTCTGTTTACCTTATGCTAATATAATTAGTTATTTTGTAGCAAATAATAGACGTCCTCATCATTTGGTAGAAAATGATTGGAAGATAGCTAAAGTATTTCATCTTTTCTCAAATGTTTTTACCAAGCACTTTACAACTTCTGGTTTGTATATCCTACTAGTCCATTGGTAATACAGGCAATTATAAAAATTTCCGAGTTATTTACAAAAACAAAGATGATGAAATTTTACATGCACCAATAAAGGCAATGGAATTTTTTTTTTGAAATATTGGAAACCCGTTCCTTTTCTTTATTGTTTAGGTGCTATATTGATCCAGAATTAAATTAGCACGTTTAGAAAATGGTCTTGACAATTTAAGTGAAAATTTACAAACGAATCATATGTCATCAAATAGGAAGGTAAAAAATAGTCTTTTGAAGTATTTCCAATATGAAAACAGGTATGGGAACCCGCAGTCGCAAAGAGGCGAAATATCCAGAGAAGCTGTAGCAAAAGAACAAATAAGCTTATTCTCTGGAATGCACTGAATAGGCCGAAGAGGACCCGAGTCCGAAGCACAGCCTCCTCTTCAGAAGCACCACCACCACCAACAACAACAATATGCTGTCCTCCATGAGTCGCAGAGTAATGAACTTCAACAATATTGGCAACCCCCGAAATGTTTTCAACGGTCACTTTGATCTCTTAGAGTTTGGAGGCCAGAAAATGTATTTTTTCCGGTATTATCAAACTTGCCTTGGATGTTTCCGCTGTTCCTGTCTCAACCGTCTCATCCGAACAAACATTTAGTGCAAGTGGAAGGATTTTAAATGAAAGGAGGACTAAACTTCTCCAAAAGATTGAAGTCCTCACATGTCTTCGAGATTGGGAACGATCGCGCCATCAAGATCAATACGGGTTATCGACAATGCTTAGTAAATCTTTCAATTTTGTAATATAGATGATACAGATGAGGGAGGTCCTAGTGAACCACCCCCATTATTTTTTTTGTAAAATGTATTTGTAAATTAATTGTTAATTATTGTACTCTTTTTTCTTTACCAAGTTTTTCTCTCCCATTGGGTTTTCTTGGTGAGGTTTTAAACGAGGCAATAATTGTTGTAATTTCTTATTTTTATTTTTTGATAAATGAATAAGTCTAATTTTTCTTATATTACAATTTTATGGTATTAATTGAATTAATATTTGAAATGTTAACAAAAAAAAAATAATTGAATTGAATTATGAATTTGAAAAGTTAACTAAAACAATTATTTTATAATTATTTATTTGAAAAGTTAATTAAAAAAACAAAAAAAAACACAAAAAAAAAAAAAATGGGGCTAACCGGCCCGGACCGTGCCTAACCCGGCGGGTTATGCTGGCGGGCCGGGCTGGGCCAGCAACTCTCCTAAATATGCAGTCCTAACCCGGCCCGCCTTTGTTGGCGGGCGGGTTGAGCCCAGCCCGCCAAAGCATGTAACCCGCCGCGGGCCGGGCCGGGCCGGGCCGGGCGGGTTACTTTTCCACCTTTACTTACGAGCATCCAGAAGCAATTAGGTAATGTGTTGAAGATAAATGCAATTGAATCTTCCTCTCTAACATGTGACCTTTGTGCAGGAAATCATGCGTCGAACGATTGCCAAGAAGGAAATCAGTTTGCTCAGCTTGAACAAGCCAAATACGTCAACAATTTCCAAAGAGGGTAAGGGAATCCGTATTCCAATAGGTATAATCCAGCATGGAGGAAACACCCAAATTTTTCATGGAACAACAACAATGAGCAAAAACAAGCACCTGTTTTTCAACCTCAAGAGCAGAAATCAAACTTGGAAAATGCATTAACCAAGTTCATTGAGGAGACAAGCAAGAGGTTTGAGAAGACCAACGTCCTGGTTCAAAATCAATCTACATCTATAAGGAACCTAGAGACTCAAATTGGGCAGATTCACAACATTTTAGCGGGAAGAGGTCAAGAGGTTTTTCCGAGTGATACAGAGAAAAATCCCAAGGAACAGGCACATGTAATCACCCTGAGGAGTGGAAGAAGTTTGGAAAATTCGGAGGGTGAAAAATAGAGGATAGAAGAAAACCTGAGGGATGAGCAAAAGAGCGATCGCCACGGCAAAGAAGACGGTGGCCACGGTGAGCGTGAAGATGCAGAGGATTCAGTCAGGAGAAAGAACCATCGTCGCGGCGATGAAACTGGTCGCCGCGGCAACCGTGAAAATACCCAAATTTCGTCAGAAATATCCTACGATCGCCGCGGCGATGAATATGGTGGCCACGGCAACCGTACAAATGCACAGAATAATCCTTCAAGCCAGGCAACCTTGCCGTATCCACAACGGTTGAAGAATCAGAAGCTCGACAAGCAATTCGGTAAGTTCATTGACATGTTTCATAGTTTACATATTAATATTCCTTTTGTTGATATGCTTGAACAGATGCTGAAGTATGCGAAATTTTTGAAGGAGATCCTCACGCACAAGAGAAAATTCGAGGAACACAAGAAAGTCATGCTGACAGAGGAATGCAGTGCGCTGATTCAAAAGAAACTACCACCTAAACTACGAGATCCAGGGAGTTTTACTATCCCTTGTATTATTGGTAGTTGTTATTTTGATAAAGTGCTATGCGATTTAAGGGCTAGTATTAACTTAATGCCGTTTTCCATTTACAGGAAGCTTGGATTGGGAGAAGTGAAGTCAACCACCGTGTCTCTCCAACTAGCTGATCAATCGATCACATATCCTAGGGGGGTAGTCGAAGACGTCTTGATTAAGGTAGATAAACTGATATTCCTAGTAGACTTCATAGTGCTAGATATGGAGGAAGATAGAGAAATACCTTTAATTTTAGGGCGACCTTTTCTGGCCACGGGTAGAACATTGATAGATGTCCACCAAGGGAAATTAATCTTAAGGGTAGAAGATGAGCAGGTAGAATTTAATGTTTTCAAGTCTATGAAGCGTCCGTCTGAGTTAGATTCATGTTTTAAGATTGATGTTCTCGACACCATAGTAGAGCAGAATTTTGAAGAGAACTACCCAATCCTACCTTTAGAGAATTGTTTGATGAATTCCAGAGACCAGAAGGATCAAATGGATAGTGAAGAGATAAGGGAGTGTCTAAGATACTTGAGAGCGCTACCACCCTTAAGTCGTCCAGAGGCCAAATTGATCAGAGAAATTGGGGCTGTGGAGTCTCAGTCAACTTTACCAATCACAAAGGCGTCTACACTTGAGCTCAAGCAACTACCACCTCATTAAGGTATGCATTTTTAGAAGAGGGTAAATTCTTTCAAGTTATTATTAATGCTTCTTTGAGTGTTGTAGAGGAAGAAAAGTTGCTGCACATTTTGAGAAGGTACAAGAAGGCCATTGGATGGACAATTACGGATATCAAAGGTATTAGTCCTTCAATCTGCATGCACAAGATCTTAATGGAGGAAAGTTTCAAGCCCACTGTCCAACCACAGAGAAGATTGAATCCATCAATGCAAGAAGTGGTCAAGAAGGAGGTGTTGAAGCTTTTAGATGCAGGAATAATATACCCATTCTCGGATAATGCATGGGTGAGTCCAGTCCAAGTGGTACCAAAGAAGGGAGGAATGACAGTGGTCCAGAATGACAACAACGAGCTGATTTCGACACGAACAGTCACGGGATGGAGAGTATGTATCGACTATGGCAAGCTGAATTCTGCGACTCGTAAGGACCATTTTCCATTGCCATTCATCGATCAAATGTTAGAAAGGTTAGCGGGCCATGAGTTCTACTACTTCCTAGATGGATATTTAGGCTACAACCAAATTGCCATAGTGCCGGAAGATCAGGAGAAGACGACTTTCACGTGCCCATACAGAACATTCGCCTATCGAAGAATGCCTTTTGGCTTGTGCAACGCTCCTACAACTTTTCAACGTTGCATGATCTCAATTTTTTCTGATATGGTTGAAAAGTCCATTGAAGTTTTCATGGACAATTTTTCTGTTTTTGGGAATTCTTTTGATGATTGTTTAACTAACTTGTCTAATGTCTTGCAGAGATGTGTTGACACTAACTTGGTGCTCAATTGGGAAAAATGCCATTTCATGGTACGAGATGGGATCGTGTTGGGTCATCGGATATCAGCAAATGGCATTGAGGTGGATCAAGCAAAGATTGAAGTTATTGAGAAACTACCACCCCCAAATTCAGTGAAGGCTGTCAGAAGCTTCCTTGGGCATGCGGGCTTTTATAGGAGATTCATATAGGATTTTTCTAAAATCTCTAAACCTCTTTGTTATTTATTAGCTAAGGATGTTCCTTTTAAATTCAGTCAAGAGTGTTTAGATGCATTTAAGTGCTTAAAAGAAAAATTAATTTCCGCTCCTATTATTGCTGCGCCCGATTGGGAACTACCTTTTGAACTCATGTGTGATGCGAGCGATTATGCTTTAGGGGCTGTTTTAGGGTAGCGAAAAGGTAAGGTCTTGCATGTGATTTATTATGCCAATAAGACTTTAACGGGACCACAGCTGAATTATGCCACTACTGAGAAAGAATTTTTAGCAGTAGTATTTTCTATTGATAAGTTTCGTTCTTATTTGCTAGGTACCAAGGTCATCGTGTACACAGACCATGCTGCATTGAAGTACCTCCTAGCAAAACGGGACTCCAAGCCAAGATTATTGTGATGGGTATTGCTCCTACAGGAATTCGACTTGGAAATCAAGGACAAGAAAGGAATAGAAAATCAAGTGGCTGACCATTTATCTCGGTTGGAGTCCAATGAAGAAGTTCAAGAGGAAGAAGAGCCAATCAACGAATACTTCCCGGATGAGCAATTGTTTGCTATTCAAGAAGGACCATGGTTCGCGGACATTGCTAACTACTTGGCACGAAAGGTTATGCCCTTCGAATGAACTCCCAAAGACGAAAGAAATTTTTTGCAGATTTAAAGTATTACTTCTGGGAGGATCCATTTTTATACAAGCATTGTGCTGATCAGATGATAAGACGATGTGTGCCAGAGGAAGAGATGACGAACATACTTCGTCACTGTCACTCAATGGAAGTTGGTGGTCATTTCGGTTCGACAAAGACCACCGCAAAAGTTCTGCAATCAGGATTTTTCTGGCCTACTCTTTTTAAAGATGCTTTTCATTTTATGATGAGTTGTGCTGAGTGTCAACGGGTTGGGAATATTTCTAGGAGAAATGCCATGCCTTTAAATAATATCCTAGAAGTCGAATTGTTTGATGTTTGGGGAATAGATTTTATGGGTCCTTTTCCTTTTTCGTTTTCTAACCGCTTCATTTTGGTTGCTGTAGATTATGTGTCGAAGTGGGTGGAAGCTGCCGCGTTGCCAACAAACGATGCTCGTGTCGTTATCAAGTTCGTAAAGAAGAATATCTTTTCAAGGTTTGGCACGCCAAGAGCCATTATCAGTGATGGTGGTTCTCACTTTTGTAATCGTCAATTCACAACATTGTTGAGCAAGTATGGAGTTACACATCGACTTGCAACCCCATACCACCCGCAAACCAGCGGACAAGTCAAAGTTTTGAACAGGGAGCTGAAACAAATCCTGGAAAAGACAGTGAACACCTCTCGAAAAGATTGGGCAACTAAGCTTGATGATGCACTATGGGCGTATAGGACGGCATTCAAAACACTAATCGGAATGTCACCCTATAGGATGGTTTACGGAAAAGCTTGTCACTTGCCAGTGGAGTTGGAGCATAGGTCATATTGGGCAGTGAAGTTTTTGAATTTTGATATACAAGCTGCTGGAGTGAAACGTTTGCTGCAACTCAATGAGATGGAAGAGTTTCGCAATGATGCATACGAGAATGCTCGGATTTACAAAGAAAAGACTAAGCAGTGGCATGACAAACACATTGTGAACAAGGAATTCAAGGAGGGCGATAAGGTGCTGTTGTTCAACTCGAGACTGCGACTTTTTCCAGGAAAATTGCGCTCAAGATGGTCTGGCCCATTCATCATTCATCGCGTGTTTCCGCATAGGGCGATAGAGCTTCACCACCCAATGAAAGGAACATTCAAAGTCAACGGGCAAAGATTGAAACCTTATATTGAGAATGGAAATGCCGACGAGAGGGTTTCAATTCTTCTTCAGAATCTGAATTGAAGACAGAAAAGGAGTCGAGCTTAAGACTGTAAACAAGCGCTTTTTGGGAGGCAACCCAAATTTTCGATTCCGTTTGTGTTTTATTTTATGTTATTTTATTTTTGTTTATTTAGTGCATTTTTAGTTAGTAAGTTTTATTTTTATTTTTGTGTGTTATCATGTTGCAATTGTTAGTTTGTTGATTTAGAATTTCAAACTGTTTTTCAGGTGAGCGACAAAATGAACACAAGGAATTTTTTCTGGAAGACTGATCACGCTCGCTGCGGACGACATCTGCAATTAACCACACTCGCCGCAGCGACGATTTCCATCGCTGCAGCGAGCGTGACTTACAGTAATGCCACGACGATAATAGCGATCGCCGTGGCGATGAATACTATCACTGCAGTGATCGTACCAGGAAACAGAATACTGCGTTTAAATCAGCAGTTTTCTTCTTTTATTTTCATCACTTTTCATTACAAGCTTCTCTCCCTCACAGTTGCTCTCCACCAATTTTTGGTTCAAATCATTCCTTTTCCTTACTCCATTGATCACTAACACATTCCTCCTTCCATCCCATTTCGCAGATTAAAGAAACAAGAGGAGAAATTACGAAAAATCAAGGTTAGGGTTTCAAAAGAGATTTGGGGATTTTTGAAAATTCATCTAATCCATTTTAATTCAAGGCGTATTTGGACAGAACAAGTTTCAATGGTTTTTCTGTTTTGATAGAACGACTGGTGTATACGACTGGACGGCTTTATCTTGTGGAGGAATGCGGTAGCGTTTTCTTTCTTTTACTCTTATGCTTAACATTGGGGACAATGTTGATTTTACTAGTTGGGGGTAGGAATTTAAGAAACTTAAATTGAGCAGAATTTGTTTTTGTATGAATTTAGAGAGCATTTTTTTTTGTTTTTGTATGGATTTAGAGAGCATTTTTTTATTTATTCTTTCATTTTAGGTAATGAGTTTTATTTTTGTCTCTTGGATGAAGTCATATGTCTATGATAGGAATGTGAGTGCAATAACATAGAACTAATGGAGGACATTAATTTTTACCTTTGCTTACGGATGTGTGTGAATATTAATGACATGAAGTTGAGACCCTAGTGAACTGTGGATTGAAAGTGGTTCAGTCACCTACTTAGAGACGTGTTATGTATGAAGTTTTCATGAACTTTATTGGGATTTCAACAAACTCTAGAACTCATTTGATAATCACTCAAGGCGAAATCCTAGAGTTCACATCATTTAGGAAATGATTTAAGCTATTTTTGGACCAATTGAGCCTTTCAAGCCAACCCTTGTTGTTGTCATCGCTAGTTAGCCCGTTGAGCCCTTTAAACACAATTTAGCCTTGTTTTTTGTTCTTTGAACTTAATGTCTACCCTATCCTAATTTTTAGCCTAAAACACAGTCCTACCTGTTTTATCATTAAGAGACTTTATTGTTCTTCAAGCTTATTACGAGTTTTGGTAGAAAGTGTGGTTGTCACAACCCATGCGTGCGAAGAAATTGGTTGGGGGTTATGGAGTGTTGGTAAAAATTAGTGGGGATGTGCATGTGTGCATGTTTCAGCTTTCTTATTGATTCAAAAAAAAAAAAAAAAAAAAAAAACTTTTGCCTAGTTTAAGGGTATTTCGGCTGGAAACCAGAACCCGTTTTAAAAACTGCCTAGCAGTACTTGGCAATCTCTGGTATAACAATGCCACGTACACCTTGGATGCATCTCCCTCGCCGCATTTATGGTATGAAAAAAAAAATATATTTAAAGTTTGAGGGTTGTAAATTACTGGACACACTGGTTGGTGGTTAAGAAGAAGTGGAGTTCGACTTGATTTTGGAGTTGTATGAGGAAAATTGAGTCTCTTACTTTGTTTTCCATATCATTTTCTTGGAACCTATACCCTGGCCTAAAGTTACAACCTTTACAAAGACCTATTGATCGCAGGTGATGTGAAATTCTACATTAGTGGAGAGTGATGTGAAAAGTGAGCCTATGGAGTTTGATTCCATGATTCACATATAAGTCATAACCCGGATACTGAGATCAAAATTTTGTTCATGAATGTCGCGCATAACACCATCCGAGTTTGTAGACTAATGGTTTGTGGTTAAATGAATGTTCTAGGGTTGATAACGAAAATGAAATTGATGTTTGCATTGTCTGTGAGTTTTAGGTGATTTTTAATTATTCTATTTGTTTTGTATATATGCAATTTTTGAGACACCTTTATGAATTGATCCAAGACTTTTTGTTAGTGTGTTCTTGTTATGTTTATGTTTTTGTTACTTTTGGAGTTTAGGATAAGTTCGGTGTGGATGTTTGTGGGTATCATCGCTGGAAACCCTCACGAGACTACAACTAGTCCAACTAGGGCCACCTAGGGGTTTAAAGGCTTGTTGCATATGCTAAATGCAATCGTGTCAATCTATGAAAGTGATTTAGGATAGTTTAGATTGAGGTTTTGAATTAGTTGTTTTCTGGTCAAGCTTAGAGACTTGTTTTATCGCTTATTTTGCTAGGGACTAGCAAAAAGCTGGTTGGGGGTTGTGGCAAGAGCTTGAATGTTTATATTTTATTAGTGATTTAATTGGTCTATTTATGGAAAAATGTGCTTAAAGTGTGGAATTTGGATTATTTCTTTCATAAATACCAGTTATGGGATCACGGGTGCATTTTGAGTGTTTTCAGGCTCAAACAGGTTGTTGAAGGGAAAAGAACGATGTTGATAGGATTTACAACGCAAAGGAACAAATGGCACAAGAATCAGAGTCAAAATGAGGAAGTTGTGGCACGTCGAAGATATTACAGAAAATCTGGAAATCCTTCATCATGAGTATGCTTCGATGTTTCTGTCATAACTTGAGCTGTAGAAATCGGAATTCAACGATTCTGGTGGCGTTAGAAAGCTTATTCAGAGAGCTACAATCTTCATGTTGATGACTTGTGCAAATTATGAAGATTACGGATGCCTTGGACGTAAAAAACGATCACCGTGGCAACCATTCTTACCGCCGTGGCCGTCGCTCGGTTATTTCAATGGAAGGAATCGACGATTGAATTTCTCGAAGTGTGGTAGTTACTCCTTCTCACCAATTGATGACACATGGTCATGATCAATGGCAAGAAATGCATTCCGCCTAAGCGTCGCTTGGCTTAAGGAAGACTAATCGCCATTTTCTCCACTATAGAACCCTAGGCTCGATTTAAGCAATGTCATAACACTCATATTTTCAAAGAAAGTAAAAAGCTCTCATGAGACCAGATTTTCCATTCTTAAGTTGGAGCGCACTTTTCATTCACAGCAGGAAGTTCGATTCCCACAACCAAGAGGTAAGGAAGATCCTTCCATTACTTTTCTTTTTTTGCTTTGTAGATAGTTTATCCGGGGGATAATGGTGGGTGTGAATCTGTTTAATAAACTTTCATGGTGCGTGTTTATGGGTAGTCGAATGGAGAATGCTTTTTCTTTCATAAGGAATAGGTTTTTTAGTGCACGAATCTTTAGGGGTGGTCTTCAAGGATTTTTTAGGGTTTTTGTTCTTTCATGTCATCGTAAGAAATTCTTATGAGACTGAGTAATCTCTGCATGTCGCCCTTTTTCAGACTGTAGGATAAATGGATGCCTTAGCGACCAGAACAACCGAGGGGAAAAGCTCACAAACGCAGGACGCCCCAGTGAGTACCGCATAAGAGATTATGTCAGTGGCCACCCAAAAGGAAATACGGAGGCCAGTGGACAAATACACACTTAGCATAGACATCTACCAGTATAGGACGTATACAACTTAGAATCCCCCAAAGGGAATGGCTACGATCTTCGAGGCGATATATAAATATGAGGCGCTAATACCCTTCCACCCCTTTATCAAGTCGATACTTGATCACTTTGAGGTTGCACCTCTGTAGTTGACGCCCAACACGTATCTGATAGCCATGGCTATGTATATTGCGTGTGGTAAGAACGACCTTGGCTAGCTAACCACGCTGGAGCTCGCTTGCTCTTATTATTTGAATAAGAGCAAGGACAAAGATTCTTACTAATTCTTGAAGCAAACTACGATCGAGGGAGGCATATTTGGTTACCCTAGTACTGTCGGGGCGTACGAGACCAAATTTTTCTTTTTCCATTATGATGGCATCTGCCAATTTTGGAAGCTGAGTAGGTCTTCCCTTTTTTTACTTAGTGAACTTTTTCTTTTCCTTTAGTCTTTGCCTTCTAACAAACTTTCCTATTTCTTCGCAGGAAACAAGACAACCAGGTTGATGGTTCTCACTGACTTCAACCAAATACTATCATTCGATAACCTGCCCGAGTAGAGTTGCGACGCGAGATTGCTCATGACAACTACCAACTTGAGGAAGTACGGCTTCTTCAATTCTGAAGCGACCTTAGAACCTTTACTCCATAAGTGTCTGTGGTCTTAGAAATTTTTTTTCTTTTGCATGCAGCAAACTCTTTTACTAATGGTACTTGCATGCAGCGACCATGCCATCCAAAGTGCCAAGATCGTTAAGAGCTAGGGGGTTTGTTTTTCCCTAAGTCAGTGCCACGGAACCAGTCAAGGAGACCCTTAGCGACACCCTTGTCGGAGAAGTGCAAGTAGGGGTGCGAACACCTACCGAACAACCAGCGAAAGCTTCTTGGCCTGTGGCTGCTCGCCTTAAGCAAAAGACCACAGGCCAAAAATCTAAGGAAAGAAAGCAGTTGTAGCCCAAGGAATCAGAGTCTGAGCCGAAGGGCTTGGAGGTCCAGCTTGGGAGGTCGTAGCCTTATCAGGCTTTTCGCTCGGGGAGGACCTCGAGGCACATGATTGGGGTTACATTGGTCCCTGAGCGTCCACGCAGGGGACAGGGGGAAGCCGCGACTCCCTAAAGGAGAGTAGGTAAAAAGCCGACTAGCAAGGTGCCACTTGCTTCAAGAGCTGGCACACCTGTGTTAGACTCTATGAGACAACTTTCGGAACACTTGCAGCTGGTGGTGTATACCCTTTTGGAGTGCCAACTTGCCAAGGTCTTTGAAGAGTTCGTGGCCTCCCCACTTGCAGACCTGATGACCAGTGTGCTTCAACTACAAAGCCAAGTAAGATGGTTCATCCTCGTCAAGGACTTTCCAATATTTCCTTTGTTTTTTTCAAAGAAATGGAACTTAACCCTTGCTTCCTTTATTATGCAGTCTCTACTCGCCATGTACTTGGCTCAACAGAAGAGCCAACTAGAGGCTGTTGGGGGACTCTTCGAGGTGAAGTAAGAGAATTCAAAGCTGAAACACGACTTAACAGCTGCAGAAAAAGAGACAAGCTTGCTCACCTTTCAAACGAACCAGTACATGTCAAAGAGGAATGCTGCGTTTCACATGGTAGACTTCCAGAAGGCTGAGTTGGAGAAAAGAGGAGAAGAGATCAAGGAGATCCAAAGGACCGTGGCTAGGCTCACTAAAGAGTACGACCAGAAAGAGCTGGAGCTGCAAGCAAACTTCGAACGGGCCTCGTGAGTAGAGGAAGAAAGAGCTCTAGGAATCTGCGTGATCATGAAGTGCTTAAAAGAATCGAGGGCGACCTTTGTTTTCTCTAGATAATTGATCATGTTTTCTTCCTTGGCTTGATATTCTCCCAAAATCTGATTGACAACCAGCATGGAGTCGTTGTGAATACTAATTGTGGTTGACCCTATCTTTTTTGCCAACCACAGACCAATGAGCAGTGCTTCGTACTTGGCCTCGTTGTTTGTAGCTTGAACCCAAACTGAAGAATACTGTGGATGCGAGTCCTTTTGGGACTAAGGAGGATAACGCTTGCCCTGGCCCTTTTCCTGTTCGAGAAACCATCGACATAGAGGCTCTAAGTCGATAAATTTTGAACAGTTTCCTGGGTGACTTCGGTAGCTTACTGCTTGGATTCCTGAATCGGTTGGTGTGAAAACTCTAAAATGAAATTGGCAACAACCTGTCCTTTAATGATTGCCTTCGGTTTGTACTGCAAATCGAACTAACTCAGTTCCATCACCCACTTGAGCAACTTACCCGAAACCTTCAGTTTCTGAAGGACTTGCCTGAGCGGATAGTTGTTTAATACATGGATTGTGTAGGCATGGAAATAAGGTCGCAACTTTCTGGAGGCAATCAGCAGGGCATAAGCTAATTGCTGCATTTTTAGATAACACATTTCGGCATCCAACAGTTACCTGCTCACATAACATACCAACCATTGGACTCTGTTTTCTTCCTGAATTAGAGCTGCATTGAATGCATGCCGAGAGATGAACATATACAGGAGAAGAATTTCCTGGGGGAGAGGCTTAGACAGGAGAGGTGGCTTTCCGAGGTGCTCTTTTATAATATGAAAAGTCTATTCACAGTTCGGAGTCCAATCAAACTTTTTGTTGGCCCTAAGTATATTGAAAAATGGCAAACAACGATCTGTTGCCCTTGATATGAAGTTACTGAGAGCCGCTATTCTCCCATTGAGCCTCTGAACCTGTTTTTGGTTAGTCAGACTTCTCATATCAAGGAGAGCTTGGATTTTCTTGGGGTTGATTTCTATTCCCCTCTGGTTAACCATATACCTCAGGAATTTTCTTGAGGATACTCCGAATGAACACGTGAGAGGATTGAGCTTCATTCTGTATCTTCGAAGTATACTGAACATCCCAGCGAGACGTGTTATATGATCTAAAGCGACATGCGACTTGACCAGCATGTCATCAACATAGACTTCCATCGATTTTTTGATCTGCTCAGAAAACTTTGGTTAACCAGCCGCTGGTAAGTTGCCCCAACATTTTTCAGGTCGAATGGCATAACCTTATAGCAATACAGGCCCCGATCTATAACAGATGAGGTATGCTCTTCGTCCAATGTGTACATCAAAATCTGATTATATCCCGACTAGGCATCCATAAAACTCAGCAGCTTGTGCCCAGAGGTGGCATCGACGAGCTGGTCGATTCTTGGCAAGGGAAAGCTATCCTTCAGACAGGCTTTGTTAACGTTGGTGAAGTCAACACATGTCCATCATTTGCCGTTAGGCTTCTTTACTAAGACCGGATTGGAAACCCTGCTCGGATAAAGTGCCTCTCGGATGGACCAGTTCAAGAGGAGATTATCTACCTCAACTTTCAAGGCAACATATCGCTTAAGGTCCATTGCTCTTCTCTTTTGCCAAATCGGCTTGACCGCACTATCAATATTCAACGTATGACATATAATATTCGAGCTGATCTTGATCATGTCAACATGAGTCCATGCGAATATGTCAACATTTTCCCTAAGGAAGCTTGTCAAGTCGTTGGCGAGCTGAGGGTTGAGATTACTCCTGATTCTCAACACTCGGGTTAGCTCGCTTTGATCGACCGATACCTCAAATATGTCCTCGACCAGCCCACTATGAGAGCATTCCTGGTTGCGAGGATCCATGTTATCCTCAACAGGGCCGGGCTGTGGCTCGATCCTGCTAATTGCCAATGCCTGCTCAAGGTGCCAACTGGTATTCCCTTTCCCTTGCACACTATCTACACTGCCCTTATATGGTAGTCGTGAGATACGCGTTGAGATCCGCTTACTTCCCCTATCTCTGTTGGGGTGGGGAACTTCATCTTCAAATGGTAGATTGAGATGACTACTTTGAAGCTTCTTAGTAGAGGTCGTCCTAAAATGCTATTGAAGGCGGACATGCAATATACTGCCAAAAACTCAATCATATTGGTCATCTCGTTGGTTTCTCCCAACGTGACTGAGAGCGAGATCGATCTCTTGGGAATCAAATGATCCCTGGTGAAAACATAAAGAAGGATAGAGACAGGCTTCAGATCTGCCTCGTACAGTTTCATCTTCTTGAAGGCTCGTTGAAATAAGATATTCACGACGCTTCTATTGTCCACCAATATCTTATAGACCTCGCATCGACCTATTTCAAGCGCGATGATGAGAGCATCCTCATGGGGATGATGCAATCATATCGTATATTTCTCGGAGAAGGTGATTTCCTCCTCTTTGTGAATCTTAGCGGGTCGCGACGCCGTGCTTATAACACTTATAAGGTCATGATGGGCTTCCCAAGCATAACTTTTCTAGGCACTTTGAGAATTCCCCATGAGGTGTGGTCCTCCAAATATGATCCCCACACAGTAGAGGCCTATGCGACCATGTCACTTCTTCCCTAGTTCCTCTTGATTTTTCTCCCGAACGGGAGTTGAGTCATCGACATACTCTTTGAAGTGCCCCTACTTAATGAGGTCTTCAATTTTCTGCTTGAGAGCTTAACACTCATTGGTGTAATGCCCATTATCCCAATGATAACGACATTACTTTTTATTGTTTCTAGTTGAGGGGGGATTCTTCATGGGCTTGGCTCTCCGAGCAAACCGACCTCCTCTAATTTATCCAGAATAGCCGATACCAAGACATTTAGAGAGTGTATTGACTCTTGTCACGATCGCGATGAGGAACTGGGGCATAAGATTTCTTAGGCTCATACCGCTGCTTCTTTCCTTTTTGCTGATCGTCATTAGCCCATCTGCGATCAGCCCTCCTATTCTCCCCCCGGTTGGGAGCACTACTCGAAGGACTGGGGTCGTGGCGATTGAGAGTGGCCACATAATTTTCAATACGGAGGTACTTTTCAGTAAGGTTGTAGAAGCGATGAGGGAAACATCATCCTCAGATTGCAGCTCCTTCCACAAATCTGTTTTTCGATGAACTCTCGCAATAATGAGGGTCCGAACAGACTCTTTGGGAGTATGAGCCACTTTGTGGAGTTCCTTGTGGAACCTGTCTATATAAGATTGGAGGGATTCATCCCTTTCTTGCCGTATATTACTTAGATAGCTTAGCGGCATTGAGAACTTCCTATTCACCCGGAAGTGCCTCAGAAATGTCGAGCTCATTTGAGGCCATGAGCTGACTGATCTTGTTGGAAGCGACCTGAACCAACGCTTGGCATAGGCAGTTAGGGTCACTGCCAAGCAACGATATTTTGTTAAGTTAGAGACTTTGTGGAGTTCCATGAGGTCGTTGAGCTCGTATAAATGATCATACGGATTAGAATTCCCATCGAATGCTCGCATGTCGGGTATTCTCAATCTCTATGGGAGAGTGGTAGTTAACATTACTAGAGAAAAGGGAGACGCCTTTGCGACCTTCCCTTGGTCATTTTATTGAGCCTTAAGTTGATCCAGAGCTCTCTGTAGTTCCTCAATCTGAGGTAGCGGAGCTACCTGGGGATCATTTTCCGCAACATGGGTTCAACCCTCACGGTTGCGGTTGAGGAAAGACTGCAAATTGGACTCTTCTTCACCTCGGTCGGAAGCTTCGGCAAACCTTGACACATGCTGGCTGGAGCCATGTGATGGCATTGAGTGATTCAGGGAGTCTTCCCGATCTATGCAGTGGTATGAACCGACCTGCAGACAACGGAAATCCCTTGCACGATGATGATCAAAGTCGTCATTTCGGCGATCTTGGGAATCTCCTCGCCTTGCAATTTTATGGGCGTGCCCATGCGATGTGGCATGGGATGGCTCATGCTGTGACATGTCGCCGAGTCGTAATGCCATGGGTATTCAACTGGATGCGTGATCGGTGTTCGCCAGACCCTCAGAGCCTTTGGTCTATTTTGTGCCACTTGCTTTCCCTTTCTCTAACGCGCTACAGTGCACGTGGTATGGGCTTTCGCCCTTTTCCGTGCTCTCACGCGACCTGTTGGCATTTTTGGCGGTGGCACCGCCTCATTGGATTCAGGTGGTACGACCTGGTCCAATCAGTCTAGCCTTTGGCTGATTATTTGGAGAGTATTATTGAACCTCCCCAGGTAACTTATGATGGCTAGATCGAGCTGTAAGCTTGATGGAATATCCCTCATGACACTTTGCTGGACTAGGGGCACTTCGGGAGAAGTGTCCTCCTGTACATGGGGATTTCTTCATTGCCATAATTGGTTCGCTCAGATTAGAAACTGTGAGCCATTTGCTGTGGTGGGACCGATTAGTTAGAGATTTTTTTTATGAACAGCAGATACTAAATCAGGCCTTCCTTCTAGCACCAAATGGGAGGTACTCAAAATTAGTACTGTTGATGCTTGATATTGACACCAACTATTCGCGCGTGTAAAATGCTAAGTGGACTTAGAAGTCACACGTGATATGAGAATATCAAATTAAATAATGGATGAGAAGCAATATTTAAAGTGGTTCGGATGCTAAAAAGCGAATTCTACGTCCACTGCTATTGTATTAATAAGAGAGTAAAGTCAGGTTGCTTTCAACGAGCTGAGTTACAGCTTACAGAGAATACAAAGAGAGAGAGAGAGAGAGAGAGAGAGAGAGAGAGTAAGCTATTTCAGGGTAAAATTTGCTAAATCCCACAAATGAGAGGGAAGACCTCCATTTATAGTGGGAGAGTTCAAGGTAATGATTACAAAATCTGCAAGTGGGTAGGTGCCGTGCAAATATTTCTTTGCATCCCATTGGTCACCTGCCCGAGGGATTTCCTCGACTTGT